AGTTTGGGGGTTTTCGGGAGGTGTTTATAAGTGACCAGACAAGCGACTGGGGCCTGAATCTCCAGAGGGGATCGTTCCAACTCACGAAATGCCAAATAAATCCTAATTGCGATCATGGTTCCAACAAACCCAAAAAGGATTTCCTGATTAGATTTGTCAAACTAAATCACGCTGATAGCAGGAGACAATTTTAGGCAGTTGGCAAACAACTGTTTTCAACATTAGAGCATCTGTTGTGCTTTCAGAAAATTAGAAAGTAAAAGTTTAACTTCTGAAAGTCGACTTCATTCCGTCATTTAAAATCTTTGTAAAATCCAACTTACAAAACAATATCAACATGAGACATATTTACAAACATAGTTATGTATGCATGAAAGTAGATGATCGTTTCCTGACCATAACTTTGAATGTGAAATGACAAAATGACAAAATTCAGCTAATTTGCTGGGGTTTTTTCTTTGCCCAGTAAACCAAAGCGTTAACGTAAAATTAGTGCCCATTCTGAGCGCAGTTCCAGTTTGATATGGCCTCACAAAGTGCTTCCTTTTGTGTGTGCGACTGCAGGATATGCTAAATTTACATCTCTCAATCAGACTAAAGTTACAACTGCATGAATCTCTGATTTGCAGGCAGCAATTTAGCTTTCATTGCGCAACAATGTAAGGCAAATTTGATCTTGAGTTTTAAAACATTGATTAAATATTTTATTAAGTTTGCTTTCTGAAGATCTCTGGCAAACATCTCTGAGTTATAATAAAATTGCATTAAAAAATCATCAGTCAGGAAGCATGCACCAAGATATTCCAGGGCTGCAGTAATGCAATGACGGCTAAAAAGCCTGATTTCCACGTTCTTCCTGGTTGTCATGTCATTTCATAAACAAAGAACAGGGAAAATGTTCTAACACACCAACGATTTGTAAAGATGCTCCAAGACTAAATCAGCAACTGCCAGGATAGTTATAAGCAAGCATTACAAACTCGAGTTTGAAGCAGCCATTCAACCATTAATGCGTACTGCATGCACGACCAAAGCCAGGAAGCGATTGGATGGAGGCAAATACGAGTAAATGAGCACATACCTGTATGGGTGAGGCTGTGTCTCTCCAGCTGGTAGCGTTGAATAAATCTCATGTCACACATGGTACAAGCATATGGCTTCACCCCTAAAACACAACAAAAATTAGAGGTATTCAACATCAAGACATGAAAAACCATGAATTTATTATCATTTATTCCATCATGCTTTAATAGTTAGAGACATTACACTAACATAGGTTAAAAGAGCAGTGCAGTTTAGCTTAATACATGGATATAAAGCTGTTCATAGCTTTAAGCAGTTTTGTTTTAATTTCATGCTGAAGCTTTATAATAATTTCACCAAATCTTCAGAGAATGTTTGTTATTGATCAGCTTCATAACTGCACTTAATGCACCTTATAGTGTAATGTTTCTCTCATTGAAAACAAGCAATAGTCAGCAATGTGCATGCAAAAGTACCATTACAGTATCAAAAGTCAAGGTAATTGACAGAATCACTTCTGCAGTGGACAGTTTTCCAACAAAGCCTAAAGATTTATCGACAGTCGTATAATTAAAGTATGGAGAAGGGATTATGAATGTAATTTTTAAAGTTTTTTTTTTTTTTTTAAATGGGAAAACTTTCACAGTGAAAAATTAATTAATCATACCGGTATGAGTGAGGGTGTGTCTTGCCAAATGGTAACGCTGGAAGAACCTCATGTCACACATGGAGCAAGCGTATGGCTTCACCCCTAAATGTATACAGTACCAGATTTTAGAGACAAGAAAATCTAGTCAAACGAGGGCACAGCTGCATGATTTTTACATATACTAATATCTATTTTTCGTTACAAATGCTCATTAACCTTTACACCCAGCTATTTCTGTGCAGACATAAAGACGTAACATCAAATATAAACAATACAGAACAAACTGTGTTCGCAACTTAGGTTTAATGATTCAGATAGACAAAAAAAAAAAGGTATATATTTATTTAGTGCTGACAAAAGAATGACCCATACCATTGACACAAAATGTCTAGAAACCCCTAGCACTGTCAAGAAAGAGGGTTAAGTAAAACTTCTACCCGTGTGAGTGAGAGTGTGTCTTGCCAGGTGGTATCTCTGGAAAAATCTCATGTCACACATGGAGCAAGCATATGGCTTCACCCCTGCACACACAAAGCAAAGTTTTTCTTGTAAAAACGACAAAATGAACTCAACAGGACACACTTACTTACAGCTACTCCTCAGTAAATATGAATATCATTGGAAAAAAAGTAGATTTCTTTCAATAATTCGATTCAAATATTGAAACTGACGCACACACACACACATTGCACAGGTGTAATTATGGTTTACAGCTAATAAAAACCAAAAATTCACTTTCTCAGAAAATCAGCCTATTGTAGAAATGTTATATTTATCCCACCTTATGGCCTACATATGCATGGGACTGTTGAGTTGACGTTTGTCCACCAGACAGTCGTTGACACTGTCCACATGAAGGTCAAACCAAAGCATGTCACCGCTAAAGATGGTGGCCGTTTAGAAACCGTATCCAAGCATAGTGATGGAAAAAATAGAACCCATCCAGGAGTTTCTTTGCTGCATATCTCTGCGTCAACATCGGCAGATTGTAGTCATTTTTTAACATCTAAATATGGAGTTAATAAGTAAAGCTTATTGATAATAAGTCAGTAACTTTTACAACAAATGTTTATTTCCATCTTGTTTGCGTTTTGGAATTGGGTTGACCATGTGGTATTTGTCTGGGAATGTGGCAGTAATAGTGATGCGGTGCAGGATGGTGGTTGTTTCTTTAGGGCGTCAAAAGGTTAGAGAAATTTATAGAACATAATTCATATCTGTAAATATCAGTTATTGGCCAATAGCAGCAATATTACTATCCGATATCCACCTAATTTCTTTAAATAATTTGTGTATCCCTATTTCAGATCAAGTTAGAGTTTCTGTAACAAAAGCCATTTTTTCGAGTTGGTTTTATAAATAATCCAAATTTTCTGAGAAACAGAATTGTAGGTTTTCCATTAGCTAAAAACCATAATTATCCAAATGAAGACCTGTTAAATATTCCGTGTGTGATAAATCTATACTTGTGGGTTACATTTACTCAAATAAAATGATCTTTTCAATTGTATTATAATTTACTGAGGTGCATCTGTATTTTATGTATCCAGACATGCCAAGGAGGACCAGAACTGAAACAAAATACACATCCAACTAACATTTTCTAATCTGTCAACATTCATGAAACACGGACTTTGATTATTCTATAACCTGCTTACAGTGAAAGGGCTGTTTTCAATCCAGTCAGTAATATTTTCAAGTCAGGATTTAGCGGCTACACACTTCATACACATGTTAACAGCTAAGACGCTCTAATGCTAATAAATATTTCATGTTACACATGACTAGTAAATTTGGGTATTTGGGCACCGATGAAGGAAAGAAGGGTGAAACCATACCCGTGTGAGTGAGGCTGTGTCGTGCCAAGTGGTGGCGTTGGAAAAATCTCATATCACACACAGAGCAAGCGTATGGCTTCACCCCTACACATACAAAAGTATGTAAATATTCAAAAGAAACCTTGAACATTTGACCATCAACTATTTCCTAAGTGAGGTTTTTTTTTCCCCAGTTATACATTTACACCATGTGTCATTTTTCATGTGGGTGTGTGTGGTGAAGGTTATTTCACTTGAACAACAAAAGAAAAATGGCAGGGATGATCTTAACAATTGAACAGAATATAGGCAGTGTTCACACACGCACAGCTGTTTCATAAAGTATTCATACAGTTAATAGAAAAATGCTAAGCTTGAACTTAGCCGATCTGCTACATGTCTGGATACATCCACAAGTGTCTGAACACTAGTCTGTCTTGCCATTTGAAATCTGCTAAATCTCTGCTTTCGGTGGAAACTTCTAGAGTGAGCAGACGCATACCGGTGTGTGTGAGGGTGTGTCTTGCCAGATGGTAACGTTGGAAGAACCTCATGTCGCACATGGAGCAAGCGTACGGCTTCACCCCTACATACACAGATTATCAACAAATTAGCTACGCCGTTACTTTGGGATTACGGGGAATTCATAACAACCAGTTTATTCCTTCATTCACTTTTTATGTTAGTTTAAAAGAAGTTTGGCAAAATTATTAGCAGGTATTGAGGTGATCAACTTTCAAATGAAATGGAGTACGTCACAAAACAAAATTTAGGGATGTTTTAATGCATAGAGGCTCTGAGGTGGTAAAAGCTACATTTCTATGAGACAGAAGGGGGAAAACAAGTCAAAAAATGGATTTGAAGTCCATCAAAATTAAAACTGCAAAAATATTACAATGAGTTTTCCCAATTATGTTGTAGTGAGGTCGGTCTTCCTCAGATTTTAACTTTCTTGGAGAAAGTTAATTTAGGCCTCTCTAAATTTGCATCACTGGACCCTAGACCTAGTCAGAACAAACTTCTCACCCATGTAAATGTAAATGTCAGCCAAGATCTTGAGCTCTAATAAGTAATTATGTCTTTTATTCATTGGTATGGCTGCATGTTTCATAAAAAAAGCAACAAAAAAAAACAATTGAAAACCATTTAAGTCATGAAATTGTTATTTTACATACAATGAATGTTCATAGTGGAACCTCTCAAAATCTGAAGGAAGGGATTGAGAAAAAATAAATTTCCTGTCTTATGGGTTTTAGGTTTTATTTTACACCAAGTCCACCTGTGATCAGCTCATCAGTGCCTTGTGCTTTCACACTGTGGCCAACAATAGGTATTTCTAAAATACAGGACATTTACTTTCATACGACCAACATAAAACATACAAGAATGTCAAAAAATAATTTGAAAAAAAAGAAAATGTGAGCAACAGTAAAAGTGAATTGTTTTTGATGCAATCATTAACATCTATTTATGCCTGTTATACTGTCTGATAGTTCCAACTATTGTTTGTATTTGTGTATATTTACAAATTGTCAGTGTGTGGAAGAAAGCCCATCCAAAAAACAAAAGTAAAAAATGAGGGGGGAAAAATGTAAATATATTTCCAGAAACCCTTTAAGAGCTCGTCAGTCTTTACACAGTTAGGATAACTATTACACAGGATATCAAAGTAATTTTATGATAAGTATTAGCAGATATTTCTAATACTTAATTTAAAAAAAAGGGCCAGAGCTAACCTGAAATGGTTTGTTCCACAAAATCAAATCCTACAGCCTGTGTTTTTCTTTCACCCTGTGTGTTTTTTTTTTTTTTCTTCGATCAAAGTCAACCTTCCCTTTCCCTGCGTAAGAATCAATCCACTGACTTTAGAGTCCACTCAATCACGCTAAACAAAAACTGGGTACGGTAAAAGAACGCATACCCGTATGAGTGAGTCTGTGTCTCTCCAGGTGGTAACGCTGGAAAAACCTCATGTCACACATGGAACAAGCAAACGGCTTCACCCCTACACACACACAGAGCATACAAGCATTAGCTAGTCAGTCTGGTAAGTGGAGAATAACTCAGGAAGAAAAAAAAAGTAAAAATAAGAAATTTGTAACGTGTGTATGGGGAAAAGACAGATGCAGTATTGGCAAAAAGAAAAACAGTAAATGTCAGCTACATCAACGTGGATTGGTAGATTAGCCCAAGGTTAGTTAGCTTCAGTTTCTTACAGTGAATAACTTGGCAGCAATAATTTACTTAAAACAATTACTTAGAAGGTTGACTTACCCAGTCTGTTTGATAGCTATTATGTAAACATTCCCCCAATTGATGTCCGCAATTTTTTAATTGTACACAATAAGACATTAAGGATTCAGTATTTGATCACCATGCAGATGCTGTCAACACAAACCGAAGAACATACATAGTAAGAAGGGGCTATGTATTGCATGATTTGTGTTGCCTGTGCTTTAACAGCTTAAAATCTGCACACCGGGGTCCACAAGTAAGAGTCCATCATTAAGTCCACTGTTAAAAAGTCTTCACTGCAAATCTAATTCACTTGTTAAAGCACAGAGGGGTGAATATTTTTGGTACTGTAGCCAGAACAACAACAACAACATACTAAAGAGTAAATATGGTCAATTTTGTAACATGTTGGCGATTAAACCTGTACATAGGAACAGAAATCCAAGTTATTTTTAACTGAAACTCCTCGTGTATTTAGAGACGGCAAAGATGCAGAGTCAGCTCTCCAAGAGTTTTACATCTTATGCTGGGATTCAACATCAAACAACTTTAAGAACAAAATTGTAAAAAAATTAAGTCAAGGTACTCTTAACCTATTAATGTGATTTTCTAGAAGGATTCTCAACCATAAGCAGTTGTACACTTACAGATCCAACCGCGTGTAATACGGCATGGAACAGCAGTGATAATGGTCGCAAACCCCCATAAAAAAACAGTTCAGATAAAATTATTATAATTGCAATAACAGTTTTTTTTGTAGGAATTAGGAATTGGAAAATATTGCATAATTCATTATTATTTTGTGAAAGAAAAACTATTGTTAAAGGGATTAGTAGTCGTGTTTCCAGTTTCATGAGATCGTCATTAAATCCTGTGTTTCAAAATATGACTTAAAACAATTATTTCACTGTTTAGCAGCACAGTTGCACAACTGAATGTAACTATTGGGATGTAGTTGTCTTTTTTTATAATATACATGTTGTCAAAAAGATTAATCTTTTGACCCTTTTTACCGTAATTTTTAATCACATTTGCAATTAATCCCACAAAGAACCATGATAATGTCTTTTCTCCATATCAGCCATCTCTGGGACAAACACTTGCTACTTTTCTGTTTTAAATAAAAGCAATAGTATAATGCAAGACAATGTAGTCAAAAAAATTTATGTGTAAATGCAATGACACGATAAATTAGCGGTAATCTCACTGAAGGTCTGATACCATCTAAGCCTTGGATCAAGTAGAAAATGCCAAGTTTATATATATATATATATATATATATATATAAAATCTGCGCTGTTTGTATTTTAAGACAATCTAAAATGGCTAACAAGTATCAATATAGAGTGAGAAGCTGAAATTAGCTTCTGCTTACACCAGATCTTCCTGTTCAAAAAAATGTTCACCAATCCTTAAATAAATGCTAAAATGACCAAAACTTCCATCAAGTTTCACGTTTCTATAACTACACCAGCTAATATATAATACACAGTCAAAACTATTAAAAACAAAGAAATTCACACAAAGAGTTTTTAATAATGGACTCTGGACTACAGGACCACAATGGCTTCTATTCTTTCGTTTTCCGATTGTGGGGACAAATAAAAAGGCTGCATGTTACAATTTGGAGCAAACAGATTTCGGGGCTGGCTTTGTTGGAAGTTACTGTCCACAGACAAAAATGAATCGTCAGCATCTGTCCCTTGATTTATGTGAAAGACTACATGCGTAGTCAGATTTATGTAAAAAATGGGCACGGCTGAAGGACGCATACCCGTGTGAATGAGGCTGTGTCTCTCCAGGTGGTAACGCTGAATAAACCTCATGTCACAAACGGCACAAGCATACGGCTTCTCCCCTAAACCGAAGAGCACCAGTTTTAGTTCAAGTCCCCCCACAGATACCAGTCAGCTGTGAGGCAAAGCTGTTACCAAACAAGGCTTTAAGTAGGCCACTGGAAAAAGCTCACAACTGCTGCACACTTCTAGACTCAGTCCAACTTAAACGTTTAAGGCCTCTTTCAACATTTGATTTAAATATTCAGTCAGTAAAAGCTGTTCTGGCTTCAAAGAGAAGTCGAGCTACTGCAAGCAGCTACCATACCTGTATGAATGAGGATATGTCTCTTTAGGTGATATCCACTTCTAAATGCTCCGTAACAATGATCACAAATAAAATTTTTCTGCACTTTGGAGGCCGGACCATTCTCATCTCCACCTGTGCCCTATGAAATAAGCAGACGGACAAAAAAAATCATTTTAAATACAGGCTTAAGAAGAGTGTAGCACAAATGCTCAATGTGCAGTAAACTTTAATGCAAACACAGAGGTGCATTTGGATACAAAAAGAGTATTGTGGAGAAGTTTATTTGTTTCAGGAATGAAATTCAAATGTTACATTCATGGTACACATTGTGTTATACACGCCGACTAACATAAGTCATGTTTGTTCATTTTAATGATTATGATACAGAGCTACTGAAAACCTGAAAGTCTGTACTTCAGAATATCATTGCAAAAGCCCCTTTCCCCACACACAAAAGAAAATATATTTGACAGAAATGGAAACCCATGCAGTGAACTGTATGCACTCCGTACTTCTCCTGGGGGGGTTTTTGGCCTTTCTTCCTTCAGAAACTGGGGCCTTAATTTCCAAAGTAAATGTGGAACACTTCTAACGTCTGGTTCAGGCGCAATATAAGAAATTCACCGGCTGTAGTTAACGTCCTGGATCAGGACATGTTCTCCTTCCACTCAACTTTTCATTAACAGTTTCATGTAACACCCAGAAAATCCAGCTTCTGTAGGAACGAGCTTTAGTTGCTTACCCTTCAAGCTGAGGGTAAGTCGGTGTCTGCTGGATACCTGACATGTAATCGGGTTTCCCCTGCCTATATACTACTAACATGTCAGTTTAAAAAAACTAAAAAAATCCTTCTATACAAGTCTTGCATAATATTCTGATTGTGTGAAAAGTGGGGTTTTCATTAGCCGCAAGTCCTCATCAAAATTAGCTAAATTAAATGTTTTATTGCTGCGTGTAATGAAACTTTACATCAGTTTTCCTTTGTGAACTGAACATCAGACGCCCCTTTTATTCAATGTGACCGTTAACACAATCAAAATTCATGTTAAATTGTTTATTCCACACAAAGCACTAAAATTACTGCAGAAACAGTCAAATTGAGCTTTTTCCTCGAAGCACAACGTCAATTTTAAATGAGAAAATCTCCCAGTCATGTCAGATGGCCTTAATGCCCTCCTGTTACTGCTCCCCCTGTTATGCTCACAACTGCAGTCATTGTGCTCCACTTCACTCCCCTCCCCCCCTTCCTCTCCAGAGAACCTCCACCCACCCCCTCCACATCTTTCCTGTGCTCCTCCCCCCACCCCCACACAAACAAAAATGTGCACCCTTGGATGATCCAAGGCAGCCACACATCAGCGAAGTCGAACGCTGAACGCGGTGTGCGCGCGGGGGAGCCGAGCGCACGTTCATGAAATGAGAACACAAGAATTTTCCCAACAATTTCAACAATCCAGGCTACTGACCTTCCCTCCCCTTCCTTCTTGTTCTCTCACTTTACAGGGCGTCACTGATTTCCTGTTCTTTTTCTTCTGCTGCATGTCTTCGTTGGTCCTCATGTCCTTCTCATCCAGCAGGCGGGGAGCTTGGAATTCACCTTCCTTCCTGATAAGCTACGGAGCAAGAGAAAGTTAATTATTTCCCCATTTTCCCAAAGGTCTCTTCTTAGCGCTGTAAACAGAGGTTCTGATCGTGGCCAAAAAACCAAAGCAACAGCAGCGACCTTTTACTATTGATAATACAGTATTTTCAGTTACCGTCAGAAATAAACTGCGTCTCTAATAATTCATGCCATTTTTTAATATGATTTTGTTTATGACAAATCTAAATTACGCAACAAAACTGGTTTATCCGAGAATAATTAATTACATGCAAAAATTGTATAAAAGCAAAAAAGTTTGCAGTCTTCACACTGTGAAAGCCTAGCAGTTAACCCCCACCCCCGAGCCCCCATATTTCCCATGCGAGTCCTAACCAGGGGTGGGCAGCTCATTCCAGAAGGGAGGATCATGTGGCTCTGGGGAGCACGGTCGGGTCCGTCTCTCTGAGGCGGTGCATGGCCGAGCGGAGCCATCATTTTTTTAGGAGGAGCAGCCATTGTACTGGCCTGCATCAGGGCCATGCTGGACAGGACAGCTTCGCAGCCAAGCAGCCCCGCCTGCATGAGGAAGGAGGAGGAGGAGGGGAAGGGGGAGAACAAAAAAAAAAAAAAAAAAAAGACGCAACACTTTACAAACTGTATCAAGTCACACAAAATGAGCTGCAATTTGAAATGAACTACAGCTAAGACAGTAGTAACAACAGTGGCGGCATCCGCCAAGCTATTCATCAACGACAACATCCTGAGTGACACAAGACTGCAAGTAAAACTATTTGTAACCACTTTGGTGTTGTCAAAACAAACCCATTTCATATGGTCGCGGACTGAGCTGCTGGGCAGATGTGACATTGCTGTGGTATATGTGAGCGCAGGGACAGGGGTGGGGACAAGGTCATCCAGAGATCCGTCAGTCAGGATGGTCGGGCTGGTGGGAAGCCACACCCACCTCACTCATCTAGTACTAAAACTGAGGAAGAGGAGGATGTGGACGAAACAGACAGACATACAGTTACAACTGCTTCATTGGCTGCCTTTACGGACACATAATACAGAGCAAGTTCATGTAAACAGATAATTTTGCTTTGCACAAATGATTCCAGGTAATGAACACAGATTTTTTTTTTTTTTTTAACAACAGGACTCACTGTAGCTAGGAGTGAATTTAATCTGGCCTAATACTTCAGAGTTTTATCCTATTGGGAGGAAACGTAGACCAGTTTCAGTTATTATCCGTTGTTTGTTTTTTTTAATAGGTTTAACCAATAAAAGTGCTACATTACAATTGCATCTAAAATTACACACAATCTATAATTCAGTGATGATTGAGAAGGATAAAATCAAAAGAAAAAAATAAAAATGATAAAAATCAGGTTTTAAAGATAAGAGGATTTTATTTTAGTTTTTATCAAGCCAGTAGTTTCTTAGTTAAACCTTTAAAATATCTATCATTTAATTATTAATGAAAATACCACATTCTACAACAAGTAATGTGATTTTTGGATGTTACAAAGATTACTACTTTTGATTTTGAGTCTCAACAGTTTACAGATTTTTATTTACATCCAAAATAATTCACAGGAGTCTGCCTTTGAAACACATTTAACTCACATACATACCATTGCTCTTTCAACAGAAATTATCTTGACATAAACCCTTGACATTCTTTACTAGGGCATTAATTACCCCAGAATTTCAGCCTTTAAATTGAAGTAAAGTCTTAATTGGTAAGTCAATAAGTCAATCCTGACTTTATCTTAAACTGCTCTGAAAGCTCACTTGTGTGAAATAATTTATTTTAGCATAGTGTGTTAAAATACACTTTGGATTTGACATTTAACATAAATAGGATAACATTTATGCTTTTAAAATTTGTTATTTCACTGCTCTATTGTGTAGAAACTATTATATTTTCCTCATTAAAAAGCTAGTTGAATACAGTTCGAGTAATTTATTTGTTTTCCATTATTGTATGCAACTACATTTAGGATTTTTTTTTTTAAAAAAAAAAAAAAAAAAAAAAAAAAGGCAGACAAAAGCATGATTATCCCCCCCCCCCCTTTAACAAATACAATGCTATCAATATATTCGATTTTAAACAGAAACATCACGAAGACTTTAGTTTTTTATATATATTAGATTGGTGATGGGACTAACTCATGTTTTTCCATCATAAAAGCTTCTCAGTTCACTAACGTGAGCTAACGTTAGTATAGCCAGACAACTAACGGAACGCTACAGCTAATGCTAATTTTTTTTTAAAAAAGTACATAATTTACAAATGTTTGTTGCCGTTTGGCTAGTTAAAATATAGAGAATTAACCTAACTAAAGGCTGACTATATACTAAACGTACATTTTCAGCACATGCAGTAGTGGCCTTCGTCCTGCCTCTGAACCCTGCGTTAGTTTAGCTGCTGTTTGAGCAGGCTAGCTAACAGCAGCTAACTGCTCGGTGGCGCCCTCGCCCACTCTACCGCTACAGACTAAAACTCGGAGCAAATCAGGAGAAAACGTTTACTTCGGATTGATACAGCGGTTTCGCCAGAGTATATACCTCACAAGATGGATCGCTTCATGTTTTTCCCAGTTAGATTACTAAAAAAAAGAAACCACAAGCTCAACTGGTTCCAGACGAGTCTGGGCTATAAAGACATTCGTGATGGCCGTCGTTACGAGAGCCTCCCCCTCCCGATCATTAAGCTAACATTTGTTAGCATCCCAGCACTGGCTAACACTGACGCTGTAACAATGCATAAACCCGCTTTACTTCCTTCTTCGACCGTACGTTTACAAAATGAGCACACAGACATCCAAATGCATGATTAACATTACATAAACACTGAAAACTATACAATTTTTCTACGTACCAGCTTTGCTCGCCGACGTTTTCTGCACCGTCTAGTTTACAAACACAGGAAACGCCACAGGATGTAGCCCACTCCCCCACACAGCAACAGCAGCAAACCCTCCTCAGCCGAAGAGAAAGGGCTCATCTTCTTCCAGCTCCCCGAGAAGCCAGAGTGGTGATCAAGCTGAAACGGCAGAAAAGACTGTTAGTCCATTATTATTCCTGATGTGGAGACGCCCACCACCGCGTTAAGGTTGATAAATGTTGTTTGGGGGGTTGAGGGTTGGGGGGTGGGGGTCTTCCTGGCCTCTCTCTCAGCTCACTGGAGATTCAGACCACGTCTGAAGAGGCGCAGATGAAAAAAAAAAGGGGAGTGAGCTCTTAAAATGACAGAGAACAGGGACGTGTGTACAAACACTGGGGAGTTAGAGTAGTTTTTATGCTGCCCTTTGCCCTTTTGGATTGAATCATCTACATACACAAGCCTGAGCAGAGATAGCAAGATTAGTGATCAATTAATTATTATATCATTGGACTTATATTTCCTTTAAATTGTGCCACATTTATGTGTTAGAAAAACTAATTTGTCGGTTGCACACATGAAAAACAATCTAAATCCTTCCTACCAATGCCAGCCATCTTTGCAATGAATAGTTCACTTAACGAACAGGGCCTCCATAATGTGTTGAAGAACTATGGCTAGTTATTGCCAGTGTGGCTGTGTTGGTCATTATCTTCCAAACTAATCCTACGAGCGGTCAGAGCTGCAGAAAGCTTTTATGTTATCTCCACTTTCAAATTCTTCAGGTAGTCGGATAAATTCTGAGCATTGACATGTTGGAGGATTAAATTAATTGGATTGCCACTGGTTTCAGAACCCTAGTTTGATAGCTCTGCGTTGAGATTGCAGCCAATGATCACAAGCTTTGTTTTTTCCAGCATCACACTTCCTTTACCAAAAGACATTTGGCATTGGCAGAGGGCATTTGGTCAGCTGTAGATGGATACAATCAGCTTTATTTCCTTTGCAAACATGGAACCATTTAAAGGGAACTAAACTGGCTTCGATTTAGTGCCAACAAAATGCTCAAAGATATTACCTGCAGGTTACATAATGGCTCCATACTTTGGTTTTTACGCCAGGTCTTAGTATCTTTGGCAGAGTGGGGATGTTTCAGCTCCTGCTGGAAAAGGAAACCAGCCTCTTTATGCAGCTTGTCAGAAGAGGAAAGCATGAAGTGCTCTATAACTTCCTGGTAGACATAAATGCTCAGTAAAACACATTGGACTGAAAACATCTCGGATCTTGTGCCTCGCCCCTCTCTCTCCAGACTCTGTGACTTTGATTTCCAAATAAAATGCAAATTGTACTTTTGTCAAAAGAGAGAGAGAAGGGATGATGTGTGACGGGGCAGTGTTAGGAAATTTGATGTTTAATTGGTTTAATGACACGCCAGAAGATCACGGACTGCTTCTCCACATTTTCACTGACAGCCTAGAAACAGCATGCTGAGATTAGCTTCATTATAAAATAATTTTCATGTAACTCTAAAATAGCCACTAGTTATATGTTCTTTTGATTTTTTTTTTTTTTTTTTTTGGTCATTTTAGAAACGCCATCAAAAAATCTTAAGCATCAGAAAGTTATATTGATGACAAATCATCTTGCAAAAGTGGAGAATAATTGAAACAAAGTGTTTTGGTGGAGTAGGATCTCTGGTGTATACTTTCCAAAGCAAATGTAGCAAAATCCAACATCGCCTGTGACACCGCCATTGAACATTCTCAGCATTATGGTGCCACATTAAGCTGTTTTTATTTGTTTGAGAGCATGCAACAAGAGGCTTCTTTGAGAAAGGAAGTTTGTATTCAGTTCTTCTAATAAATTCAAAGACATACATTAGATGTGTTGCAGTTTGCATTAAAAGCTGTTGGATGTGTAATTAGTCCAATTCAGAAACAACCACTGGAACACACAAAGGACAAAAGGGGCTCAACCAAGGGAGAACTTTTCTTCGTTCAAAGAAATCTCTTCTTATTTAGAAGGCAAATACCATGCAAACATCTAACTAACTCCATCCTTTACTCCCCACCCAAAAAAATTTGCTCTCTTTTGGATGTTCTTGATGAGAAGGAGAATCCACAAATGTGTTTGTTTTAACGGGTTTTCAGTTGCGTCAGTGTTGGCCAAGCATTCATGGGTCCTTATGCAGGATTCACTTGGGGTGGTCACTCCCGGTTAAGCATATCACCCTCCTGTCACCACAGAAACCACAGTATTTTTTTGAGTCTATCGAAGAATCATGATTTGTGCACTTAACACAACGCATTTTGAAGTTAAAATTGTGAGACTCGACACTGTAGTGATACATTTCACATTATATTGTAATAATTAATTTATAGTTAATACGATTTTAGATAGTATTTTTGAATTAGACAGCTGCAAATGTTTTTTTTTTCTTTGACTATTACATGTAAAATCCAAATATTGTACTGATAAAATGGATTTCTAATACAAATGTATGTCATGGTTTACAATTATTTGTACAGTGGTCTGCAGAAAGCCATAAAGAACTGCCATAGGGAGGCTAGGACACAAAAGCTCATTGTCAAAGAAGTTGGCTGCAAACAGAGTGCTGTAGGCAAGAATAATAATGGAAAGCTGAGTGAAAGGAAAAACTGTAGTAGACAAATAAGCATAATAATCAACAGGGATAACTAAATCCTCAACAGAATTGTGAAGCAAAATCCATTCAGGAGTTTGGGGAGATAAAAGGCCTGTACTACAGCTCAATTTAGGAGCCGTAACCCTAACCATGATATTGGTCCAAAGCCTGTGCAGCTACTGATAAACAAATCTTACAACATGCTTTATGGAGATGCTGATTTGATTTCCCAACAGGACTTGGCACCTACACACATAATTACTAAGCTTTGGTATCACTGTGCTTGACTGACCAGCAAACTAAAGCTAGTTAAACACATTAGGAAGATAATAATCACCAGAATCAACAATGCAGATGACAAAAGCTGAGCTTCCTAACCAGCTCAGCAGAACCACAGGTTGATCTCCTCCATATTACGTTCTGCCTGGGGAGTATGACGACGTATTAAATTACAGAATAATAGGCTGAATTTTCTGTATTTAAAAAATCCCTTTCTAATCTGTGTTATATAAGAAGAAGTTATATAATATTTAAATTTTCCGAGTAAGGAAATTTGAGGTTTTTTTTAAATTATCTGTCAGTCATAAATATCCAACAGAAATGCAGGCTTGAACTATATCAGTGTGTTATAGATCTATACAATAAGAGTGACTCTCTTTGACTCAAACTGAAATAAATGAACATTTTAATTCTTGACATCCCAAAGCATAACATGTGACTAAGCTAAAAAGATAAGTAACAACTATTACCTTTTAGCTCCCCAATGCTGCCTCGATTATTTATTTATTTATTTATTTATTTATTTCTCCTTTTCTGTTATGTCTGTATGGCGATTTAAATTTATTTTATTGATTTTTTTCTCTTTTTTTTGGAGAAGCTATGAAAGTTTCGCAAAATGAATGTAATGTGAAGAAATTTATAATGTTCTGATAAATAACGATAACAAAACCGAATGGAAGTGCTCTTGCTGGTTTAGGGATCCAAATTAAAGGCGTAGTTCACTTATGAGAGGCCCCATAGGCCAAAACCTACAAACTCGGCTTAGCGTGCATTGTTCATTTTTGTCACTCCCCCACCCACATCTCCCCCACCCCCTTCCCACACTCCCCGCCGGCTCCCTCCCCCTGTCATGGAGACGGTTGCTACACCCCGTGTATCTTATCACCATCAGACTGCCTGTTGACTTTTAACATTGGGAAGTGAGCAAAGCCACCTGTTCTCAGGAATTTTAGCCTGCGCGCACACACACAAACAAAACAAGCAAACAAAAAAAAAACCCTCCCAGGTAAGTGTAACGTTATGCCTCAGGTCATTGGTGGAGCAAGTCACGTGATCTGCCTCTTCCACTCACCTTTGCGCTCACTCCTCCTCCGCGCTGTCCACTCCGGGCGGTGTCGCGGCTCCAGCAGCCAGTGTCAGGTGTCTCGCAGGTTTTCTCACAAGCTTTGGCTAAACGGAAGTTCCCACAGGTAGGAGCAAATACATGTTAGGACGGGGGGACATTCACTAAACAACTAACTAACTCTTATCCAAAGCAAAGAGGTATGTTTGGAAGATTTGAGTTCGTATATTGCTAACATTGACGGAAAGTTTAATACACGTGTTTTGCGTTGTAAGAGCAGCTTGTGTGTTTCTGTTTATTCACGACTTTCCTTGAAGTTAAACGACTGTGCTCTCGGTTTGCGTCATCTAAACGTTACAGCCTATTTTACCCTTTTCTCTTCTAGCCACCATGAAAGCTAGACCTATAATTAAAGTATTTCAGATGACATGTTGGCCTCAGAGCTGGGCCGCCTGTCTTCAAGTTATTCCTCTTTATTGCATACTTCAGTAATGACTCTGTAGTTCAGAGTCACTCATTCTCTCCTGAACACCTGACTGAGGCTCTTGTATTAATTCATAATAGATCAATTATGCATTAAGCAAGGAGGACTGCTCCTTTTCTCTGACTTAGCAAGTGTCCAAATGTGCTGTGGTAGCTTGTTGTCATAGCAAAAACCTATGAGGGTGTTACATCAGCAATGTAGAAATCAAGGGTATTGAGAACGTTTATGATTTTGTTTAATTATAAAATCCTGAAGAATTTACGGGATTATGTAGGCTGTCATCTTGTCAAGCCTTTCTTTACTTGTGTCTCATTCCCCTGCTGAGACAGGGCAGCCGCTGTGGACGCTTTCGCAACATATGATGCCACTGACTCAGTCAATGCTCCTATTGTGAGCTTTTCGCTGGAAAAATGCTGCTCACCTTTGTGGATTTTTGGAAAATGAAAATGAAGAAACTTCTGGTCATGTGATCTGGAGCTGATAAGGTGACACAGAAACGATTTTTATGACTCACTGTCACAAAAGTGATTGAGACGGCTTTTATTGCCGCGGGCAGCCAGAGTTACATGCAGCAGGGATTTTTTTTATTTTTTTTTAAATGAAATATCATTGACCGTGTATATAGTAATGCAGTTGCACGGGAAACTAGAAAATCCCCCAAAACTCACAAGAGAAGACGAGGAGCATTAGTAGAACTGAGAACAGGAGGATCTGACAAAAGGAGTGATGATTACTAGAAATAGAAACAGTAAACTGAATACAACACACAAGGACAGCATGTTTCAGGAGCACACTAGTTTACAAGAACAAACAATGAATAACTATTAATACATAATAATAAAAGAGAACTAATACTATGAATGAATGATGCGTATAAT